GCTAATGCTAGCTGCCTGTCACGTTCTCTCGACCTGGCCACACCTCCGCTCTCTAACCCCCCTTCCTCCACCCACACCCCCTCCCCTACCCACTTTGATGCATTTTTCAAATTTCGCCTTGGGGCGGAGTTATCTTTTCACAGGGGGGGTAAGTTACACTTTAAAATGAACACTATGTACTTTTTATTTTTTTACAACCAAAAACAGAGTTATTAGGTGTTCTCTACACACCCACTAAAATCCTCTTGAACAAACAAAAAAGATTCTGGCATAAGGCCACGCCTCTGCAGCAAGAACAATAGTGCAGACTATTTCTGGGTTAGAAACGAATGTTAAATAGATTAATTTAAAGAACACTGGGCCTCATGCAAGAACATGTTCGTATTCTTATCCTAAATTTCTCTTAGTTTTGTTCGTGTGAAGGGTTCGTACGAACATGTCACGTCAGATTCAACAAACTCTTCTATCTTCAGGAATAATGTGTAAATGAGCTGCATAAACTGATGAATGTGTATCAGGTGCTCATGCACGAGGAGAGGAGATTAGCATAATTACCACCCCAAAAACGCCATATATGCTACGTTTCCTGCCTGACATACCAGGAAGTGTCCATTCATAAAGTAATAAGAAGAACTTTACGAGTTCGGAGACTGAAGTCCTGCTGTCAGAGATCCAGAAAAAAAATCTGTCATTTTTAGCAGCATCAGACCTGCTAAAGCCGAGGAATGAAATGACGACTGTTAATGTCGTGTCTCCTGTGGGTCGTGTACAGTCATAGAAATAAAAATCTAAATCATATTCATCTCTCTCTAGTCCTGCTCTGGTTTTTCTTTGGTCAAATATTTTTAATTTTAAGTGTAAACAACTGTGTTACATAGTTTTCATTTATTCAAAAGAAGAGCAGTTGCACACTGCTACCCCCCCACCAGCCTGGCCGTCTCCCCCACCTCGCCGTCACAAGTGTCAGATGCGGTTCTGAGAAAAGGATTTTAAAATGTCTCCAAACTTCAATTAATACATAATTTAAGTTGGTTTTTAGTTTGTGATCTTCATATTAATATTGTATTGCTATAAAACAGCATTAATAGCCAATTTAATTTAATCTAACCAATTTATGTCGTTAGTTACATTTAAAATCTAATTCCAATTCAAACAGAACAACGTATTATCAACATAATTATGGAGGGTGATTTATTTTCAACTCAAAATATCTTCAAACTAACTAAATATAAAGTTATTAATGAGAAAAATCTGTCTAGATAACAGCAGACTGACTGCTCGTAAAATATACGACAGGTCTGGACCACACGTGAATTTTGTTCGTATCTGAAAAATATCTTACAATACGAGAAAATTGTTGAATGCCACAAATTCTCCTAAATCACTCGTACACACAACTTAAGAACAAATCTGTGCGTACAAACAGTTCTTGCATGAGGCCCATTGTGTTTAGTCCTTTTTTAAGGTTGAATTCTGGGTATTTGAAGGTTCTTTTGAACAACTTGCAGTATTTATTATGCATCCCTCAGTTTTTGGGCTTAAAAAGTATAAAATAATCCAATTCTCATCTATAACGATGGCACTAATTTCATACATATTTCATACAAACGTAGATATTTTATAGCCGTCACTGCCCTGTTGTTCACAGGTAATTGGCTCCGATGGCCTCTGGGAGACCCTCCACCGACAGGAAGTGATCCGCATAGTCGGAGAACATTTAACAGGAGTTCATCAGCGCCAGCCGCTTAAAGTCGGAGGCTACAAAGTCACTTTGGGACAGATGCAGGGGCTGCTCGAGGAGCGGAAGACCCGTATGTCCTCGGCGTTCGAGGACCAGAACGCAGCGACCCACCTGATGAGGCACGCTGTGGGGAACAGTGAGTTCGGCACGGTGGACCACGAGAGGCTGTCCAAAATGCTCTCGCTGCCCGAGGAGCTAGCCCGTATGTACCGCGATGACATCACCATCATCGTCACCCAGTTCAATCCTCACGTGATCGGAGCACAGAGGCAGGAAGGAGAGTTGTGAGCTGATGTCATCAATACCAACAGGGTATATGAAACATCTGTCCAGCTGTTATAACACTATTTATGTAAAACACACACACACACACACACACACACACACACACACACACACACACACACACACACACACACACACACGCACATCCACACATAGATACTGTACCATAATTACAACCTTGCTGAGAAATGTACACAAAACACACCCACCCACACACACACCCAGACACAAACATANCACACACACACACACACACACACACACACACACACACAAATATATATTAGTATTGTATTGTATGTATTTACATATGCTGTGGCACAGAGTGTCTGATTTTTATGATCAGAGTTCAAAATGTGTTCAGAATATCTGACACAAAATGTTGTTTATACTGTCAAGTCTTCTTCAGCAACTGTTTTCATACACATCACAGACAAATACTGACATTTGTGCCAAAACAGTTGCCACCCCTTCTTCTGCTAAAACAGGGTTAAAAATAACAGAAATCTCCAAAACCATTCAAATGATCCTTGTGAACTTTACCCAGGTTGTTGCAGCAGCACTTTTTCCTTTTGTATCCCAGACACTTTTTCTAGATTGCTTTTAAGGGATTCTTTTTGCCACTTGTTTATTTGTTTTTCTGAGCTGATTTTAGTTTCTTTTGTTGAGCAGCTGCCTTTGCTTCATAAACAGCTGATCATCCACTTCAGTCGCTGGTTTTCAGTCAATCTGATGTGGATAGTTTAGACTCAGCAGGCTGCTCAAAATTCTGTTACACAAAACACACCAGACTCAAGGCTCTGTCACAACGCATACAGACAACTTGTGAAAATTTTGTCTGACTTTGAATATGTCTAAATTGAAGATGACATAATTAAAAAATCCACCTGAAACCTCATTTGGTTGTATACATAATGCAATGCTAACGATTAGATTAAATGTATGACCTATTTGGTTTATTTAGTCATAAAAAAAATAAATTGTCTAAAATGTGTGACAGGCCCTTAAAAATTAACAGGTCACCAAAATAAAAAAAATGTCTCATTTTAAAACTTTTACAAGACAGAGAAGATGTGAATCAGTTTCATTTTTATTGAGCGCCACATGTAAAAATACTACAAAATGTCACTAACACATTTTCAATTTTTAGCTCACTTTCTGAGTGTAAAAAAATTCCTCTAACATATTTGTTGTTCAGCTCACTGCTCTTACATTTTGCAAATTTTTACTCAATGTTAAATGTTATGTGCAAATATTAAATTATAAATCTAAATGTGTAAACCTAAATCTAAAAGTTAAATCTTCAATATTGTGGCTAAATGTTGAAGTGTTCATTTAAGTATTTCTTAATGGAATGCAGACTTTGATGTTTGTGCTTGACTTTTGTCATGATGTCATCGTCTAGCTTCAAACTCTTGCTGCTGAAGATGGAATTTAAAATCTAAATTTAAAATGAGTTCATTGAAAACAATATGGATGTAGAAGTGGTCTGGTAGTTTGAAGTGCATCTCAGACACCAGCCGCAGCTGTGATTTTGATGTCTTGTAGTGAAGCTTTAGCAGCGTTAGCCGTGTTAGCTGAGGTGGTGTTTGCTTTTGTCTCAGGATGATGATGTCATAACAAAAGCTGAGCACCAACATCAAAGGCTGTGTGATCCATTCTGAAACATTTAAATGTAAATTTTAACATTTAACCACATTTAGATTTAGAATTTAAATTGTACACAGTATTTAACATTTTACATTCTAACATTTAAATTTAAATATTAAAATTACCTAAACAAATTTTTTTAACTAGGATTTTATAATCAGAAAGTGAACTAAACGTGTTAGTGACATATTTTACCGTAACTTTCTATTTTACACTTGTGCTCCATACATTTCAAATTTTGCACAGAGGAATATTAACTTCATATTAAGTTAGTAGAAGTACTGATTAAGTTTTCATGTATGATGTAATAGCACTTTGAGCCTCTCTTCATAAAACTTTAAACAAACATCCTCTCTGAACTGGAGCTTCTTTTTTTACACACTGTTGGGAATTGAGAGCCTCATTTTTCTGACAGATCATTGTTATCTGTGTGGTTTGTTTCTTGTTTGTTTTATTAGGAACACCGGAGGTAAACCTGACTTTTCCTCCATGCTCTGCGGTCACTTATAAATTCCAGAGCCGTGGCTGCGTGTAAAAGAAGGAATGAGAAGCTGTTTGAACTTGAAATATTTATTCAAGTTATGTTAAACATCTTTGTTTTACGTACACAATGCAAATTATGGGGGTGAGGTTTTGTACATGGAATAAAGAGCTGAACACAGACTGTAGTACAGTTTTGTTTAGTGTGGTGAACATCATCAGGATACAGGTGTGATGCCACGGCGCAATGGCTGTCGTCACTATGTCAGCAGGTCAAATATAAGAAACACTGATGGGAGATTTTGTCCATTTTTAAAAGGTTTTCATGACATTTTAGATGAAGTTGATAGACTGACTGTTTAATGCCACAATGGGGCGCTGCTGCACCAGACAACAAGTCAAAGTTCTGTCAGAAATTAACAAATTTAGCTTATGTGCATAACCGATATGAAAAGAAATTATTGTCATAAGGGTTAATTCTATTAGCATAAAACAGCATAAAAGTTCTGTCTTTTTTTGTTAAAAACCAAAAGCTGGTTATTGTTGCAATTACAAGTTTTTGCAAAAGCAATCCACTACTAATGTTTTTTTTGTGTTTAACTGGAAATGTTGTAGGAGCAAAGAAAATCTGATAAAGCTACATCAGCAAGTCATTAATTCACCTGGCCAAGAGTTAACTTCATTGTTTAAAAGACATTAAAATACACAAACTGTAAAATGTGAGATTGCTGTCATTTTTAAAACTTCAAAAATTCTACGTTTTTCACTATTAAAGAAAAAAAACAGCCTCAGTGGGACACATATATTCAATTACAGAGAGTATTTTATTTTATTTTTTTGTCATTTATCAAGTCAAATTATACTGGAAGAAAATGATATATCATACTTGATCTATTTTTGTCTGTTTGCTTCAAATTTCAACATTTCACCCAGAACTCACACTTCATTTTTGCAGAATATATTACTTTCAGTTTCTAAAATGTTTTACATTTTGTTTCAGCTCCACACAAATAAGATGCTTCTGGGAGCAGGATCGACTTGTTTGACAAGATGCTACAAATTAAAATCAAAATTAGTTTTGATTTTAGAAAAGATTTGTATTGGAACAAAGACAACGCTGTGTGTGTGTTTGTGTGTGTGTACTCACTTGTATTTGTTACCATTTTAGGACTTTTTCTGATGTATACACATACAGTTAGGTCCCTATATATTTGGTCAGAGACATTTTTCTAATTTTGGTTCTAGACATTACCACAATAAATTTTAAACAGAACAATTCAGATGCAGTTGAAGTTCAGACTTTCAGCTTTAATTCAGTGGGTTGAACAAAAATGATTGCATTAAAATGTGAGGAACTAAAGCATCTTTTAAACACAATCCCTTCATTTCAGAGGCTCAAAAGTAATTGGACAGATTAAATAATTGTAAATAAATGTTCATTTCTACAGTAGTACTTGGTTGAAAACACTTTGTTGGCGATGACTGCCTGAAGTCTTGAACTCATGGACATCACCAGACGCTGTGTTTCCTCCTTTTTAATGCCAGGCCTTCACTGCAGCTGTTTTCAGTTGCTGTTTGTTTGTGGGCCTTTCTGTCTGAAGTTTAGACTTTAACAAGTGAAAAGCTCAATTGGGTTGAGATCAGGTGACTGACTTGGCCATTCAAGAATATTCCACTTCTTTAAACTCCTGGGTTGCTTTGGCTTTATGTTTTGGGTCATTGTCCATCTGTAAGTATGAAACGACGACCAATCAGTTTGACTGGATCTGAGCACACAGTTTGGCTCTGAATACCTCAGAATTCATTCGGCTGCTTCTGTCCTGTGTCACATCATCAGTAAACACTAGTGACCCAGTGCCACTGGCAGCCATGCATGCCCAAGCCATCACACTGCTCTGCTGTGTCTTACAGATGATGTGGTGCTTTGGATCATGAGCTGTACCACACCTTCACCAGACTTTTCTCTTTCCATCATTCTGGTAGAGGTTGGTCTTGGTTTCATTTGTCCAAAGAATATTCTTCCAGAACTGTGCTGGCTTTTTTTAGATGTTCTTTTTAGCAAAGTCCAGTCTAGCCTTTTTATTCTTGATGCTTATGAGTGGCTTGTAGCGTGCAGTGAACCCTCTGTATTTACTTTCATGCAGTCTTCTCTTTATGGTAGATTTGGATATTGATACTTCTACCTCCTGGAGAGTGTTGTTCACTTGGTTGGCTGTTATGAAGGCGTTTCTCTTCACCATGGAGATTATTCTCTGATCATCCACCACTGTTGTGTTTTTGCATTGATGAGTTCACCAGTGCTTTCTTTTTTTTCTTAGGATGTACCAAACTAGATTTTGCCACTCCTAAAATTGTAGCAATTTTTCGGATGGGTTTTTTCTGTTTATGCAGCTTAAGGATGGCTTGTTTCAGCTGCTTTGACTGCATGTTTACTTCACAGCAAAATCTTCCAAATGCAAACACCACACCTCACATCAACTCCAGGCCTTTTATCTGCTTAATTGTGAATGACATAATGAAGGGATTGCCCACACCTGTCCATGAAATAACCTTAGTCAATTGTCCAATTACTTTTGGTCCCTTTAAAAACAGGGTGGCACATGTTAAGGAGATGAAACTCCTACTGTAAACCCCTCATCCAATTTAATGTGAATACCCTCAAATGAAAGCTGAACATCTGTACTTTATGTCCATGTACATTATAATGTACTATAACTTTAATATGTTTCAGTAAACATGTAAAAAGACAAAATTTGTGTCCAAATATACGGGCCTAACTGTACCTACCTTGTCAAGACTGATAGTCCTTATAGGGACCAAAGGCCAGTCCCAATATGGTGGAACCTAATTTTCAGTTGGGGGGAGGTTTAGGACGAAGGTGTGAATTGAGTTTAGGTTTGTTTTGGTGAAATAGGTCAGGTTCAGGATATAGAAATGTTTGGAAGTCAATGAAGGGTCATAATAAGGATAGACATACAATCTTGTGTGTGTAGCGCTGCTATGGCATTAGGAGGTGGTCATACATCACATGGTTTACTCTCCCTGTCTTTTCTCCACCTCCTCTCATCTGTCCTTCAACTTTTCTCCCTGCTCCTTTGCACATCTGTGTGTGTTGTGACAGGTGTTGCTGGGACACACACACACACACAGACACAAACAGTGAAGTGGCTCCACGTTGAGCAGGTCACCATGAGGCTCTGTTTGGAAGCTGTGACAGGCTTCTTTCTCCCTGACTCATCCACATGTGGCACATGGACTGGATGCATGTTCATGGCAGCACATGTCACCCCTACCTCCCAGCCTCCCCATCCACTCTCACATGTGTTTTCTGTGTTGGAGCCTCTTCTTTGTGCAGCCACAAAAGCTCACAATCACGCCATCATCCTTTTAGCAGCTGCGCCGCCAATCTGTGGCCCGTCTCCCACTGTCAGAGAGATGAGTCAGAGCGTCACACGGCGCCGTGGCCTCCAACGCTTCACTGACAGACGGGAAAAGGAGAAGGAGGAGTGGAATGAAACACAAGGACCGTAAACAAAAGAAGGTGAAACAAAAAACAACAATCAGGTGAAAACCAAAGTGTTTCCCAGGTTCTGTTTATTGGGATCTTTTACAAAAACACTGGAATACTTGTTCATCAGCACAGAGCTTCATATCAGCAGGAGACTTTAAGTCAGAGGAAATGATGAAACTGCTAATGAAGCAGCCACTCTGAGAAAATCATTGTAATATACTGACGAGCTGTGGGAACGCCAAGTTCATCCTGTATGCACAGCAGAAATTAATTAAGCAAGAAAACAATAAATTGAAATAAAAGTCCAAGCATATACTTGTGAGGACCAGCTAGCATCTGAAAAGGGAAGAGATTTTTATTTAAAGCGGTTTATATTTATATATAATTTATTTATACCGTAAAAGCTGGAGTTCCCTGTCGTCAAAAAAAGCATCATAAAAACGCTCAGATGCTTTGTATAAATCTTGAAATGAATAAACAAAAATGGAAAGGCATGTTTAAGGTTCTTTATACAGTTTGTCAAAACTCTTTAAAGCTAATTTTATGGTATTTGTTTTTCAACATATAAATAAAGCTCAACATGTGTCCGTCTCTACATCATGGCATTCGTCTCCTGTTCATCAGTCAGGACTTTCTTCTTGTTCTTTTTACTGGAGCGCTTGATCACTACAATGAAGGCGATGACTATAACAAGAGCAGACACAAATACAAACAAAACAAGTTAGTTACTCAGAAAGTGAGATGATCAGAAGAGACTTTTACCACGGCGGTCGTCAGACTTACTACAGAATCCTATAATGCCTGCCAGGATCCCAACAGTGGGGCCGATTCCAAGTTTGAAATTCTGTCCGTGCGGTGGAATGTAGCAGTAGCCCAATGTTGTGCAGTTACACACTCTCACTAGTGTGCGGAGAGAAAACATGCAGGATTAGATAGGTGTGATGAAAACGTGAAGAAATAAAATCTTGCCTGTTGTAGATAGCTCTTTGAATGATTTAAGTTTGCAGAAATAAAAGTTTAATTCTGACTGGATTGACGCAGTGGCATATCCAAAAACAAATTTGCAAGTGGTGTACCAATACCAGCATTTTGTACAAGTATTTGTGAATTGTGGTGTTAGAGTATTCAGTTTCAATACTGGTATCAGTATTGAAACAAGTACAAACATTTTTCACTTCTGATCTTTAAATAACTTTGACAAAGACTTGTGACCCACAGTTTTCTTGATTGAATCACATCAACACAGTAAAACAGTAAAAAGTTTATTGACAACACAAATATATAAACATACATATTGTACTTTGTTTATATCTTTTGCAAAAATTAGTTAGTAGTGTCCCGATACCACCATTTTTACAGGTACTCGTACGCAAAATGCTACAATACCCAGTATTGATACTGGTTTCGATACTCAACTGAATGTATCAGTTTACATTTTGAGTAAAAAATTTGTCTCACATATAAAAAATTTGTAAAAGTTCAAAGAAACTTTTTAAATGTTGCAGCAGTACGTATCATGCTGTATATTTGTCAGAGGGGCTGTAGGCTGATGAGGAAAGACACCTTGTTCTAAATAAAATAAATGTGTTTTTAAAGTGGTTGTGTGATGTTTAGGTTCTAACACAGCAAGTACCCAGTTTCTCTTTACTCCTGGGATCGTGTTGCAGAGGGAACAGAGGTACATGAGGGAAACCCAGACCTCCATCTCACCCCAGCAACACCCCCCTGGGGGGATATACTGTAATCCAGGGAGGATTTACTGTATAATTCCTCCAGCAAGTTATGGGTCTTCCTCAGGGGCCTCTTCCCAGTGGGATGGGCCCGCAAAACCTTTAAAGGGAGACATCCCAATCAGCCACCCGAACTACCTCAACTGATTCTTTTTGATGCAGAGGAGCAGCAGCTGTACCCTGAGCTCCCCTTGGATGACGGAGCTCTTCACTTTACCTACCAACCTACATTTTGGCTGCTTGCATCCAGGATTTAGTTTCTATGGTTATGATCCCCAGGTTGAGGAGTTTAAGTATGGTTTTTCTCATCTTCTGAGGGACATGTTTGGCATTTTAGCTTAACTCCAGTGGTTCTCAAAGTTGGGATCTAAACCTCGCTTTTGGTCACAAAATACTTTTTCGAAGGTTTTAATTTGATCTGCAGAATAAAAAATAAAAGTTTAAATAGTCCTACCGGCATATTTACATTGTAATTATTGCAAAGGATATAAACAGCAGTCACAAATAGGAAAATAAGTACAATATGTGTTTAGGCTATTTGTGCTGATGTGATTCAATCGGGAAAATTTGGGGTCACAAGTCTTAGTCACAGTTAAGTAGTGATCAGAAGCTTTTGAACTGCAGAGTTCAGAGTATTCAAGGCAGCAGTTAGTTGGAATAACCAGGTTTGTCTGAGTGGATTTACATCCTTCAGCTGACTCACCCTCGAGCGCCTGCGTAACTCCTACACCTGCATTGTCTTTTATGTTGATGTTAAGAGTGAAGTTGGCTTCTTTGATCGGCTGTTTCTTCAGATGCACTTCAGCTGATGTGGCTACATGACATAAAAGAAGGAAAACACACAAATCTGAATACTCAGATCATCCTCATGTTTGTGACTTTTTTTCACAAACACATACCATCGACTGTGTACAGCTCCCAGTTGGGAGACTTCTTGGCGAGGGCGAACGTGAATGGCTGAGAGAAGGGGGCACTGTCCTTGTCTTCGGCCTTGATGAGCACAGGTTTGATGTTCTGCATGCAGATGAAAGCTTGCGCCTCCGTCAATTTGGGGACATTGTCATTGACGTCTAGCAGGCGCACATGGACGACTTGCTCAGAAGATTTCTCCGGGTTCTCTTCATTGTGAAACAGAACATAAATAATGCACTCCTCTGACAGGTGCTTATAAAGATACCACTTTTCTTTCCTTACCCTTCTCGAAGGCAGTGATGGTGACCTCAAAAGTCTCCTGCTTCTCTCTGTCCAGCTTCTCCTTGGTCCTGATCTCTCCTGTGGCAGAGTCGATCTCCAGCCAGCCCTGAGAGTCGCCGTCCAGCTTAAACCTGAACACAAAAGAATACGTAATGACAATTATGCAGCTCAATCAGACCCAAACCACTTCTGACCTGAACACCTGAACAGTTTTTACCCGATCTCTTTTCCTTCTGGGTCTTTTGCCTCCACTGTGAACAACACCGATCCTTTCGTAAAGTTCTCTGGCACGGTCACATCCTGGCGGTCCAGGCTGAACTCGGGGGCCTCGTCCACATTAGTGACGTGCACGATCAGGAAGACGGTGGACTCGCTGCCATACTCCAGGCCGGTCATCAGAGGCTCTGGGTTGCGAGCGTCAATCTGGAGATTGTAGGTGGGAGAGGACTCAAAGTCCAGAGGCTGTTCCGGGAGAGATAAGCATTTTAGAAGGAGTGGCAGGATCAGAGATACAAGTTTGTTTTTATAATCTAAACAGTCCAGATAACTCAATGTAAACTGATTTTTCTATAATAGATGTGCTTACATGAGTCATTTCTTTATTACGGGACATTAAGGTGCAGATTTAACAAAACATAAACTCAACTATTAAAAGAAGATATAACGTGTGTCAAACTTAAGACCCACAGACCCCACTATGTGGCCCACTATGACATTTAATGTGTCCGGTGGAAGCTTCAGAGATGCAATAATGTTATAAAATAAGCTGCTTCAGTGCCAGCTTTGACCATAAACTACATCTCCCATAATGCATGTTGATTGTTTTATCAGCAAAATGACGGCATCTCATCACTAGAGCTGCACATTTTTCATAAGTAGTCGTGCAGAATCTTCATTTCACTGCATTTTCGTCTGAAACTTTTACTGTGACCCAGTTGTACTGCAAAGTGGGAATTTTCCACTTCAAGTCCTACATTTTAACTGGAACACCCCTCCAGTGTGAATTCCCTGTCAGAAAGTGGGAAAATTCAGAATTCAAGATGGCAGCTACTCACCATAACCGTGAGTAAAACTCTCTTACTTTTACTCTTAAAAAGATGTTTGCATTATTTATTTCACATTTAGTCAGTCGTACACATAGTACTTTTCAGTGTTTATAGGACATGGTAAAACACTGTTTCTATGCAGGAAATACCATGTAGAGCCTAGTTAGGGTTTTGTTAGCGATGTTCTTTCATGGCAATGAGATGAGGAACGTGACAATTTGTGTGTTTAGTGAAAGTTTTACAATTGGCTCTTTGAGGGCCAACATAACGCTCATGTGGCCCTCAGTGAAAATGAGATTGACCCCCCCCCCGATCTTTTTGATTTGGAGAAATATCCAAAAAGATAATATCAAAAAAGATATATTGAAATATCAAAATCTTGTTGATTTTGTTTGAATTCTTAAAGAAATTTAATATAATTTTATGCTTTTAACAAGATCAAATCACTGATTTGTGTAGAAATTTTGCAAGATGAGGCCATCAAGAATTCATTTTGAATACTCAAAGCCCCCCAGTATCATAAGAGGTCAAACCTCTGAAATGTTAGATGATGTCTAATCTGAGTGGCTTTTTGTGTTTTGTACCTTGGCTAAGACCACATGACCAACTCCTGTGTCGTCACTTTCCACCCTAAAGACTTCGTTTTCGTTGCCTGCAGAAATGTGGAACTGGATCAGCGAACTGCCGCTGCCGGGGTCATCGGCGTCCGTGGCTCTGATGGTCAGCAGCGTGTGCCCCACAGGAGTGTCCTCTGCCAGAGTGCTGTTGCCGTACTTCACCCCCAAAGTGAAACACACAGTTAGATGATCGATCAAAGAGCAGGATCAAATCTGAACTGTGATTCTGTTGCTTACATCATTCTTCTCGAACAGGGGCAGCTCATTGTTGACGTCGATCACCTTGATGATCACCTTACAGTCTGTGCTGAAAACTGTGAACCATAATCCTCAATGAGGGGTGCAGTTTGACAGTACAGATGTGCTTCCATACGTCGTGTGTGTGTGTGTGTTACCTGAATCACTGACTCTGACATTGAGGTTGTAGACCTGGTGCTCGTTTCGGCGAAGGACACGAAGTGCCTTGATGTTCCCAGAAGATTCATCAATGAAGAAAGTGTTGGATTCAGTGGTTGGTGTTTGGGACACGATGGTGTAAGTCAGCTGAGCATTCAGTGTTCCTTCTTTATCATCATCATGAGCCAAAAGCTGTCCAATCAAACTACCTGGAACAACAAGGATTAGCTTAACATTTATACTTTTCTTTTTTTTTTTCAGCTGAAGCAAGTGAGTGATCTGGCAGAATTAAACAACTACAGACCTACATGTATATCTAAATGATCTATTCTGGCCAAGGTCATGGAGACCTTGGTCAGTGAACAACTGAAGGATTTTTTAACATTAAATAATATTCAATCAGATTCTCAGTCTGGTTTTAGGAAGATGCATAGCAACACTACAGCAGTGCTGAAAGTGGTTAATGATTTTATTCATGTTTTGGATAATAAATAACACTGCGCAGCCCTCTTTATTGACTTCTCCAAAGCGTTTGATACTGTTAATCATGAGGTTTTATTACAGAGGCTTCACACTATTAGCTTGTCTGAACAAACTCTTTGTTGGTTTGATAACTATCTGACCAATAGATCTCAGTATGTTCAAGTAGGGGGTTTAGCTTCCTCTTCTCTCCGTATACACAATGGTGTTCCTCAGGAGTCAGTGCTGGAGCCACTTTTATTTATTATATATACTGTATAAATAGCCTGACTTTAAATGTGCCTCATGCAAAATTTCATTTTTACGCAGATGATACCGTTTTATATTGCTCTGGTCTCTCACTTTCTAATGCTCTTAATCAATGACAGTCTGCTTTTAATGTTTTCCAGAAAATTTTTATCATCTTAAGCTTGTGTTAAATGCAGATAAATCAAAGGTGATGTTGTTTTCAAATAGGAGATTTGAACATAAGGATCTTCCAGTCATTATTACAACTGAGGGTTTGAAAATTGAAAATGTGTCACAGTATAAATATTTAGGATTTTTAAATGATGATTCTTTCTCTTTTTCTGCCCATATTCAATAGCTGGTGAAGAAGCTGAGATTAAAATTGGGATTTTACTTCAGGATTAGATTGTGTATATCTTTTAAGGCTAGAAAATGATTGGTTGAAGCAACGTTTGTGTTTGTATTGGACTGTGGGGACATTTTATACATGCATGCTGCTCTTAAATGTCTTTATTCACTGGATACTATTTATCATAGAGCTCTAAGATTTATAACAGTTTTAAAAGGTTTTACACATCATTGCACATTATACAATCGGGTTGGATGGACAGCCTTGGACACTTGTACACTCCGTCAGTGGTATATTTTTATTTACAAGGCCATACTAGGACTTCTTCCATCTTACTTGTTGTCCTACATAAATAGAAAGTCCACTGGAAGGTTCTCTTTCGTTGCAAGAATTTATTTTTGCTTTCGGTGCCTAAAGTCCGAATTGAATTTGGAAAGAAATCTTTTCAGTTTTCTGCTCCATCTTCTTGGAATCATTTGCGGTAATACTTGAACCTAAAGGAGCTGTCGTCACTAGATGTTTTTAAGGTTGTTCTTATTGATTTTGGTAAAGAATCATCTGTTTGTAAATGTTTTAACTGAGGAATCTTTTATTAAAGGGGCAATATCATGTAAAATCAACTTTTTTGAGTTTTATATCATGTTATAATGTTATACTCTCATAAAAAACATGCCCAAAGCTTTGCTCTGACTCATTCAATTCAATTCAATTCAATTCAGTTAAATTCAAAAATACTTTGTTGATCCCAGATGGAAATTAGGTGTTGTTGTAACTCATTTAACTAAAGAATTATTGTAGATGCTGATGGCTGTGGGCAGGAAAGATCTTCTGTAGCGGTCTGTATTACAGCGAAGTTGAAGAAGCCTCCGACTGAAGACACTTTGGCTGTGTCCAAAACGACAGGACGGGTCCTCCGGAGGACCCAGACTCCCCGGTCTCGGAGGGC